TAACTTTATTGAAACTTTATAATAACTTTAACCTTAGTCTTGCATGCTTCAATTAATGCATTGAAATAAACTAATACAAATTGAAATAAAATGAAAATAAAAGGTATATGAAATGCCCTACACCAACCTATATGCTACTAATGGTCTATTAAAATTAGAAATACGAAATTATCCTAAGCATGTACTATGATAACTTATACTAACTTGTAGTCTATTAAAATTAATTCAAAGTACAAACTCTCATTATTCATTTTGAATTAAGATCAAGTCCGCATATAATCATCCTATGAATTACTAATGTTCTCACCTTAATGAATTATAAAGAAAGATTAAATATTTTGTGGTACAAATTTATACAAACTGCTTGTATATGATACTATCACTCACATCACATGAACAATTTGGATCAAATTATTAGTAAAGGCACCTAATTNTAATTTTATCCATATAGTATTAGACAAGTTATTTGTTCGAACATTATTCTCTCATCATCCTCTTGTACACTAATAATCTGAGTTTTTCATATAATGACGAATATTATTTACAAATAAAATTAGTTTGTAACACCCCTAATTTCATAAAACATTCATTTACAATAATTTCATAAGACGATACCATGGACTCATACGTTTAAAACAGAGTCTTAAAGTAAGACAAAGAAAATATTTGAAGTAAATTAAAATACAACAAATGAAAATGTTGAAAGAGCAATGACCTATACTAACCTAAAGTCTACAGAAAATAAATGCAACTATNCTTCACAAACACTTCTCAATTGCCTTCTCTTCTAGCTTCTGCTTTTGCATTTCTCCATGGCTCTTGGGGCTGTAAAATCAATTTTAATGTAAACAAGTTTTTGTTTTCTTTATAATAATTTCACGACGTTTATAAAGTGGAGCGTGAATTACCTAGTCCGATAGCTTCCGAACCTTTCATGATTCTCAAACGCTTGCATGAATCTACAAACATCCTGTACGAAAATATGATTTGGTTAGAATGAAAGGAAACGAAACACAACTGTGAAAGGAATGGAAGAATTGAAACTTACTCCCATGGAACATCACCAACAAGCATCCAATCACCATCTTTATCTTCATAAGTTGGAACAAACTCAGAGCTATTGAGAAGATCCATCAACTTTCTTTCATTCATGAAGTCGATCGTTCCTTCGGTACCATAATCACCTTTAAATAATAATAAAAAACGTACCAAGTGTTAGAAAAAAGAAATTTTTTATTTCAGTTGTGGGTTCGAGTTGTTTTTTTTTTTTTTTTACCCATTGCGAATGAGCTGAACATCTTGGCCAAGGCATCTGAAAGTTCTTGATAGCATTGGTACATTTTCAAGTCCACCTTGCGAAGATATGGAGCTCCATCCATGCAAACCTTTACGAATGCAGCGGCACTGCCACTGCTCGCTTTCTCCGTTCCTTCTCCGCTCGTGTTCTTCTGCGCCATGACATTCTTCCGGTACGATCGCACCGGAGGCCAACCCACAGCCTGTGCCCTACAAACCCCACAAATTATTGATGAGAAAAATCATTCAACCTAACCCTTAGTTACGTCTTGGAAGAAGAAATTTACTTGACAGGAGGCTTAGCCGGATCCTTGGAGCCGAGGCTCTTCTGACCGCCAACGTTCGCTGGAATATTCTTAATATTCTCGTTGACATCGACTCCACCGCCAACCTTGCTCTGAATGTTAAGCTTCAGATCAACAGTTTCAGAGAAACCCCTCTTGCCGAAAGCTTTAAGGGTGAGATCTCCGGCGCCGGGTAAGCCGAGGCAGAGCTCAGTCTCCTTCAAGTTTGCAAACTGGTTCGCCATATTCCGGCCGACAGCTTCCATATAGAGAACGAAAAAAAAAAGGTTGTCGTTTTGGGCTTTCTTCTTGTGGTGTCGCCTTCTTGTTGTAATGACTTTAGGCTTTGGTTTAAATTAATAATAGACATCGCTACCCAATAATATTTAAAACCAAACAAAAATTCACCCTCTTTTATCGGATAGAGTGGTAAAATCAATTTTAACCCCCAACCATATTATTTTATCAAATAATTAATATTTGGTCCCTACTATAAAGTTTTGATTTATTTATTATATATTTAATGCAATAAACCATATGATATGTCAATTTGTTTTCTTTCTTTTATACATTACTACGTTACTTATGAATATTGAATTACTTCTAACAGTAAAGACACTATTTCTATAAACCAACACCAATCTTTTTTAAAATTATTCTAAGTATTAGTATATATGAATTAAGTAATATTTTATTATAAATTCGGGAAATTTTATAATAGTTTTTCGAGGAATACCCATGCAAGAGAAATGGTAATTTTAGCATGTGGGGGGATCAATAAGCAATAATAATTTTTATATTGCCAATGTGAAAATTGGAATTTGAAGAGGGTGC